TGACTTTGTGGCCATACTGCCTTTCTATCTAGAGGTTGGACTCAGTGGCCTGTCTTCCAAAGCTGCTAAGGATGTCCTGGGCTTCCTCCGCGTAGTCCGTTTCGTGCGAATCCTGCGAATTTTCAAGCTGACCCGCCACTTCGTTGGGTTGCGGGTCTTGGGACACACCCTCCGTGCCAGCACAAATGAATTCTTGCTGCTCATCATATTTTTGGCATTGGGCGTCTTAATCTTTGCCACGATGATCTATTATGCTGAGAGAATAGGTGCTAAACCAAATGACCCTAGTGCCAGTGAACACACACACTTTAAAAATATCCCCATCGGCTTTTGGTGGGCTGTTGTCACCATGACGACCCTGGGCTACGGAGACATGTATCCTCAGACTTGGTCAGGCATGCTGGTTGGGGCCCTCTGTGCTCTTGCCGGTGTGCTGACCATTGCCATGCCTGTCCCTGTCATTGTGAACAATTTCGGAATGTATTACTCCTTAGCTATGGCTAAGCAGAAGCTACCAAAGAAAAAAAAGAAGCATATCCCGAGGCCACCCCAGCTGGGATCCCCCAATTATTGTAAATCTGTCGTAAACTCTCCACACCACAGTACTCAGAGCGACACTTGCCCACTGGCCCAAGAAGAAATTTTAGAAATTAACAGAGCAGGTAGGAAACCTCTTAGAGGAATGTCCATCTGACCGTTAACCTCCATCCCGCGTAGTGATTTAAGATTCAGCCAGACTGCTTTCTTAGAGCAATGGGTAGCACATTTATCCATTCTAGTCCCACCATCACACAGTGAATAATATGTGTGAAGTCTAGGTTGCAGGGACAAATGGTACAGTGGAGGCTGATCAGCAAAACTAAGGATGAGAGCACGCTCTAGGAGCCCAAACTTTGGTCCTGGTTAAGGGCATACAAGTCTCAAGATATTTTGAAAAGCTTCTAGTGGAAGAATTTTGAGAGTTCTACAGCTATGTTGCTGGACTGTGTAATGCATCTCAGAGGCTCCTGAGAGCTGAATGCTTCATAGAGCAGAGTAGGAGCCAAGTACTCAGCAATTAGAGTTTTCTGACAAAACAGGGCTGGAATTCGAAACAGCCTGATGCTTTCTCATTTGTTCCCATTTGGGACCTTTCAGCTGTTTTAAATGGCAGATATTGTACATCTCATTACAGAAACTAGGTGCCTAGTAAGTTGAAAGGACAACCATACCATCATGCATATTCATGAGACAATCCCGTCTCTTTCTGATGATTAACTGCAAAGTAGAACAACAGCTCAAATTCTTGACACTAATGCAAAATGACTCATTCTGAGGCAAGACGAGATGTAAGGATGTTTATTCCATGGCATGCAAATCAATCTATTCTATAATATTCCACTAGAATTTAGCGTTTTGAACTATGAAAAGCTTTGAGCCACATTTTCTAAAACATGCTCCTTTTGCAAGTGTGGGTTGGTGAGTTACAGCTCCTTCAACCTTTTAGCACACAACTGCTCCTTCTAGCAGCAAAGGTCTACTGGAAAAGGTCTGACTGGTCATTACTGGCCAGTCTGGCCTAAACAGTGCCTCATAATATGGTATTCTTGGTTTTAATTACATTGATTCGTGTTAGCAATAGGTGAAACCAGAGCAAAATTAATCATACTAATTCTACTGGGAGGGGGGCAGAGAAATGGAAAAAATACTAGTCACCATGGAATATATTATAATATCCCATGGCTAGTGGTTAATTATGGGAATATCTCAGTTTTATGAGAATCCTCCTACAGCACATGAAATTACGGGGCTCCATTTTGATTATTTAAACCCCATAATCTACCTCTACCCATGGAATACAACTATTTATTCTATGGAGTAATTTCAAGTAGATAACCATGTTGAAAACAAAGCCCACTTAATTTTTGGCAGATGTTCCAGTCAAGTTGCATAGTAGACATTCTTCAGCTTATTCAGAATATCCCCCTCTTGTATAAGATCGAACAGATCACCAGTCAAGTGATTTTAATTGACATCTAGTAAAAATGACATGTTTTGAAAGAGCTAGCATATACCTATGATGGTCTTGTGTTACCATTTTTTTACTTTGAAAAAAGTTGTAATTTGTTACTCATTGTGAGTGAGGTATTCTCTTGTCATCTCATTGCCATGCATGTTAATGTCATTGTGAGATGCACAAAGAAAGTGAGACTTTCCTTTGTGTGTGACTTCACCAATGCCAATGCTAATTATGGAGGGGAAGAGCTGGTGGGAACCCTTCTCTTCTTTTCTATTCTTTTCTCTGTCCTTATTTCTTTTCCCTTTTGTGCAACTATGTAAAATCCATTCAGAAGGTAAATAGCTTTATTATTTTTTGTTAAAGGCTATTCCATTGCAACAGGCCAATTACAATTCGTAAGTGAGAATAGACTGTCTCTTTCCTATTGTATCTTTGGTGCACAAGCGTATGGTTTTACCATCCATCCCCCTCAGGTTGCAAATGCTTATCACAACTCATGTCCAAGCAGCAAATGTTCTCACGAGTAGATGTCATTATGGCATCACATGTCAAGAGGGAAAGAGGGCACAAACACTACTGTTTGTCCCCTACTATGAGCAATATGCCAACTACCCAAATGTAACAGGCAAGAGATGCCAGAATCTTGAGTACTTTAACAGTTAGCTACAGAGTGACTTTCTTCTCAGAAATCCCTTACTTTACAAAGTTGCTTCCATTACCTACCCTGGTCCTCTCTGGGAACTAAGAGGACTAAGAACTCTACGAGTTCAGTGCAATTCCACACTGGTATCCTGAGAATACGTGTAATTTTGGTTCAATGTGGAACTGTTTTGCCACCACCAGTGCTCTAAAATCAGCTGTTACCACAATATCCATGAAGTATTGATAGTAACAGCAACTTATCTATTTCTGCAATAATTAAGAGAGATTATTTTTATATAAGTATACAAGCATATATATTTTAAGAAGTAACAAAGCACACTTATACTTCAGCTAACAAAATGGACTTGGTAACACTGTTGCTGGAGTTCAGTTTCTCATAATTATTATGCATCACTAGCAGCAAAAAATAGTGCCTGTATCTCTTTGCTTCCTAATAGTGAAAGATCTATATGTGTGCAAAGTAAAAGTAAAACTAATACATAAGATCATACCACACTGTAAAAACAAGATCTGCATTGCCTTGGATGTTGAGGTTCACTTATCTAATACGAAGAATTGGTAGGCACTGACTTGTTCCTGAAATTATAATCTGCACATTATAGGAAAACAGAGAGTTTCAAATAGTAAGTGTTTCCCATACTGTAAAATATCTGGATTGGTTAACAGCACCTAACTGTAAACATCCAGTTAACACTGTACTAGGAACACAGAACGGGTGCCTAATGTTTCTAAAATAATGCCTGTGTTTTCCAAGATGTATCTTGTAAATTTTAACGGTAAAGCTTCAGTGTGACAGCATCCAGGTGATACAAGATCACATGATGTGTATTTAATGCATTATTCCAAAAAAAAGCCTGCTTAGCTGCTCAGGTGTAAAGGACATCACATGACGTTATTAATTCCATATATCATGTGTGGTAGAATGATTAAATGCTTCACAAAACAGTTATGATTGTGAAATAGTTTCACATATGACTATCCCCCTATAGCCCTCTCATGCACCAAGCCAGCAGCTCACAGCTGTTCTTGGTCCATACACACAGGGCCAAGGGGTCCATACACACAGAGAGCTCTGCACAGTCACAGCCCGGTGCCTCCACTCCGGCTAAGGAGCATTTTCCTGGCACAGACATGCAAACAGCAGAACTTTGCCTACAGGCTGCACAGCTGCTGCTAATGATGCTATTATGGTCATCTATAGGCAAAGCAAAGATGGTCTGAATTTAAATTCTGGTAGGATTGAATTAAATTTTTAAATTGTCCCCAACACTCTCAGCAGCTCAGTCCGGGACTAATCTACACCTGGCAGGAGGGTATCTTTAAATAACAGCACTTGATTTTAATCTGATAGGAAGAATGTCAGAATTTAACCCTACCATGCCTCCCCTTTCTGCAGCAGCCCCTTCTGCTCTCCATCCCATCTGGTCCTTTCAATGGGTAGCTGGGAAAGCTGCAGAAGGGGAGGAAAGGCACTTCAGAGTACAGTATGGCAGAGCTACAGCTGCAAGGCAGGCCTTCACCAGCAGCATTAAGAAAGCAGAGATTTCTCTATACAAAAAGTCTTCTTTGTGGTAGCTTCTGATACCTGTGAATTTTCAAGATACTGCTTAGCTACTGCCTGGACAAACAGGGCTTGATACAAAGGAGCAGACCCTACCTGACCAATTTAACTAAAACTCCTTGACCCAAGGATATCTCAGACTATAGATGACAAGGTGTCCCCTCACTCAAAATACACACAGCATGTTGTAGCAGTGCTGTTTGCAGGCCCCATTCAAAATTAAGGCTTCATTTTGCCATCACTGACTATGTGATAACCACTATATTGCAATCAGATATTCGACAGGCTAAGTAGACAGCAAAGAGAAAAATGAAAGTAATCTCTAGTATTTTCATTTGATAGGGGGATTAACTTAATTGAGCAAGATCACTTGAAAGATCTACAGCAAAGCCATTAGTTCATCGTAACTAAACAAACATCAGTCAACCATAGTCTGCTGTGCTGCAGCCTATGTACAGGCTTCTGAGTATTTCAGTCAGTATTGTAACCGAAGCAAAATAGGAAAAAAGGCAAAGCAAAAATTGCTTCAAATAGAAGCAAACCAGAAAAAGCCAGTTTCAACCACTTAAATTCAGCTTATTTCTGTCCCAAATCACACAGTGTCCTACAGGCATACATAATTTATCTCAGTGCATATAGTAAAATACTTTAAGGTACAATTTATATGAAAATTATAATTTATAACAAAACTTCAAAACATGCAAAACAAATCTTGAAAGTTCTCAGTTTTGTTTTGAAAGTGTTACTCAGCTCTTCAGTCCCTCTCTATGTGCTTACCTTAAGGAGAGGTTGACTGCATGGTTACATCTTAAAGTTGCCATAGGATAAACTGGTGAATGTAATTTTCCAACACGGTGAAAGAAATTTAGAATATGATTGGAATTCATAACTTCATTTGATGTCTACAGTACTGTCTGGTGCCAGAGAGAATGGATCCATATATTGTAAGCACAGCTGATGTTAATTTGGGTTTATTCAGTGATCTACCCCAACCTTTTATTGTTTTTGTGTATCTATTTACAACACTAACACACACAGTGTTTATATTGACTTTAATATGGCCAAGAAAAGAATTCCTCACCTCTCTGATCCTGTCTGCATGCAGGTTCACTTAAGCTAAACTCCAAGGATATTGTATCTTATAGAAATATATTGCGCACCCTTTTTCACAGTGTACTGATGACAAAATTCTGTTTATTGCATAGCTGTAAAATATGGAAGAAATATAACTAGAATTCAGGCATCTAAGAGGAGAGGGAAAATACCTGTCATTGCTAATACAGTCTTTAGCTTCAGAAGAACTTCTGTGGTTGTGTTACTTACCTGCTCAAATGACTGTTTTCCATAACCCACTCCTTGGCTATCCCTATGTCTGAAATAGTTCAAGCAATCCAAGTCTGTCACTGACAGAGGGAAACTACATAGTTATAGTGACTCATGTTCTCATGGTCAAATTAACTGGCATAAGCTGTGACATTAGGAACCTATTATTTCAATGCAATTTCCTGAGAGAGAGCTGATCGCCTTTCAAAGAAATAACATGGAATTACCCATTTCGGTTTTATCAGTCATGCTTTCTGAAGGAGCTGCTCTTTTCTCAGGGTTTCATTTTTCATCCCTTCTGTCACCATAAACTAAATAACCTGTACTCCTTGTGCAACACACTGGTTCTAACGTCAGAAGTGTGCTGAGCACTGTAATTGTAGTGCCAAAGCTCAGTGGGAGTGGGGGGCTATTGGCAGTTCTTGTCACAGGCCAATTATGCTGCCTAACATTTCACTGTACTGTGTGAACTTCAGTGGCTTTTATGGATAGCAAAGCATTGTTAAAGACAGGTATTTAGTCACTGTGGTGGTCCTTCAATCCACAGGGAAGCAAATTCTCGATCAAATGCCTTTGAACATTAGGAAAAAAAAAAATCTCATCTGATTTTAGTGTCATAAAACCTTTGGCCCTTTCTGTAAGATGGACAGTAGATAGCAATGTAATTGCCAAGAGTTTAGGTCTATTTCAGCTCAAAGGTCTTTGAAGTTTAAATGTGTTTGACATAAATACTAAAAAGGCAGTGGAAAAAGTAATAGGAAGATGTTTTTTCTTTGCTGCCTATATTTAGCCTTCCTAGCCTTTAAATGCCCCAAATTCATCTCTCCAAAATAGCAAATGAGGTAATGTTTGCATCATGTCACTGAAGATGGAGTCTTATGGATCTAATAGAAATTGTAACAGCTCAAAATAAAAGGAATACTGCTCAGTTCTTCTCATCTAACTTAAGATGCATTTGCCTGAGGTCCCCTTATATTGGAATAAGTATCAGGCAGCCTCAGAGAGTAATTGTGATATGAACTGCCTTCTGCAGGTTGCTTTCTCCATAAGTAATCTCAGGTGACTGCACCTCTAACTTAAGATCCTCAGTTAAGTGCCTACGGGTAGGTGAAAGCAATTTGGATCTGTTTCTTTTCCTCTGTCCCATGTGGCATTTCTGCAATCTCATAGCTGTGGATAACACACAAAGCATAATTTATAATTAATATAATGTAACACTTCATTGTACAATTATTCATCTGTCATTTCCTGTAGGGATACTACTGGTGGGTGTCATTTGTACTACAATGCTTGTTTACTTTAGAATTTGATTAAAAAATAACATCCTCTATACCAAGTCATTTGAAAACAAAAGGGAGGAGCTATGAATTCAAGCACAGTGCTTTGGGCTCCCACTTCTTCCTAGCACCATGTGAGACATTAAAGAAAAATTGTGAAAAAAAAATCTCTCCACACAGCCTCCTGTGGTCTGGCTGTAGCCAGGGATGAGTGTGTGCAGGGGCAGGACTTACTAAGCTGAAAAACAAATGCAAAGCTAAATAATAAATCTTATGACTTTCCATGCCTTAATAACTTAATGAGCACAAGGTACTTTTAATGATGGGAAAACACAGATACAACCACGCAAGCCAAAGAAGGCCAACCTGTGCCAATTCTCCAGCACAAGGCAGATGTAATTATGGTAAATCCTCTTTCTCACACACACGCCTGCCACTGCAGCTCCCATGCCATCCAGTCCAGAATTCATTCCTGGGATACAAAGAGGTACTCTTGGCAACCTCTCCCTTCTGCTGGCCTGAATAGACTGGTGTTTGCAGGACAGAATACAACAAAAGGCACCTCTGTGCAAGAAGTACATCTCTACTGCAGTAGAGCTAGAAAGATGGAATCACTTACCCATTACTACAAAAGGCCAGGGACAAAACAGTCTAGAGTGTGAGGTCCAAGTTCTGTGCCCAGTCTACTTGCTTATATCCCTCTTACTCTGTACTTGCTGGAAATTTTCTCCGAGCCTTTTAGTTACTTGCTTGTCTGTTTATAAGCACAAAGCAGCAATAACAAGCAATTTACCATTCCCGCTGTCACTGTTCCTTGTATTCATCCATGCTCCATGTCTCAGACACCTTACATACTGTACAGATCATCATACTGTATTCCTCAGTCAAAGCGATAATTTAAGACTCTAGCATGACTCACCTGACTGCATTCTCCTGCAATTTCTACCTGACCTGTCAACAACTCACAGCACTCTACAGAATATGGTATTAGTAAGACTCTCAGAAGTCCAGGATGGGTATAAGTGAAACCCCAGAAGTGTCAGGGTAAAACTAGGAAGGATCTTCCAGAGCTCTTTGCAACGCAACACTTCCAGGAGCAGCAGTTCTCAACACTGCATTAAGCACATATCCAATAATGCCTGTAATAGCAAGATGTAATGGATCTGCTTAGCTAGAGCTCCTGTATTTCCTCTAGTAGTACCAATAGGTAGACAACCAACATACTGTCACCTCACTTCAAGAGGTAGTACCTGTCAAAGGTGATATTCTCTGGGAGTGACGTTACTATGTTGGCCAGTTAGTACTGGGAGAGGCGGTCACCACCATCACTGGAGTGCCTTTTCTGGGGGATACGGCTTACTGGAGGACCAACTTGGTGGTGAGTAAATGTTGAAGAGGTAGGTTGGGTCGGAAGGATTCTGCGGATTCATGTAGCATACTAAATTATGCTCTCGTGCCAGTGTAAAGTCCATCAGTGTGGTATCTATTCAGAAGAGCTTCATAGCAACTTTCAAAATATGCAGTAATATAAAAATCAGGAAACTTTAATAAAGATACCTAGAACTAATAAAATTTTTATTGTAATGGCCTTAGAATATTGGGGTAACTAAAACTGAGTTGTAATATAGGAATCTTAATACTTTTACATGTTCTTCACATTTTCTCTTTTTCTCTCTTTCACTCTGTTTGTTAACATTTACTTGTTATTACTGTGTGTTGCTTGCAACTTGTGTATGTTACAGACTGTTACATTTTATTCTGTGAAGTTTTTCTCCAATTCCCATCAACCTGAGCTCCATGTTGGGCAGCCGAGGAGATTACAATACAGTTCTTTAATGTAAACGAACAAGGAATGTCACAGACTATAGGTAACTTCACTGAGATTGTGACACAAAACCTGATGTAAGGTATTAATGCGAAGAGTAAGTACGTGGTATGACAACAGAACTACTTAGTTAAATTACCATTTTTTAATATTTTTTTTTTTCCAGATAGTCTGCATGGGAAAAATTAATTTTCATTACTCTCCAGCAGAAAAAATTCCCAAACCTACAATTTAGGATTTTTTTCACTGCCATTGTGAAAACCAGTGATACCAGTGTTGACGCATCATTACTCATATTCAAAGGTTTAAACTCATATTTTCTATGCTGTTCTTCTCTATGCTATAGTTCCTTCCATACTCTCCAAGCTGTAATTTCATCATTTCATCATCATTTGTCTGTGGTTTAATATATTTTTTACATAATTCTTTTTCTAATTTAATATAGTTATATCCCTTTCACTCTAAGGACCATATGTAACAACAACAAAAATGAGCCCCTACCCATGGGATTCACATTTCTTAATCCTGCATGAGGCTCTGGAACCCATAAAAATTGATTTCTGTAGGTGAAGATGGTCTGGCACAGAAGCTTAATTATTATTTTGCTGAATCAGGTCCTAGGCAAAGTATTTTGTTTACAATATTCCCCAATCACCCCCAAACACTACTTTATAGAATGATAAAAAATAGCTGACAGACATTTCTGTTATTTTTTTTTAAGAGGGACAGAATAAAGCTCATTGCTACTAATCTTATTCTTAATTGCCAGTAAATTCTGTGTTAACTCAGGAATCACTATAGCCAGGTATCAACTCAAGAAAAGTGCATTTTTCTCAGCGTGAAGTTCCTTTAGTTCCTGATTCACTATTATGCTCTAACACTCCCTTAATCAGTGAAGAAGCACAGCAGAGTTTAGACGCAGTCCAATATTCCACTTACGGAATTGATGAGTGGGCAATGAATATTAATGGACAGTAAATATTATCCAGGCAACTAAAACAGAAATAACTTGCTAACAGGAGTAAAATTTGAATTTAAGAGACTCCAGAGAGTAGGGAATTGAACTGTAAATAATTGCTTTCCATGCAATATCTCCAAGAGAAATCATAGATTATAGAACCATTAGGCTGGAAAAGAACTTTAAGATCATTGAGTCCAAATGTTAACCTAGCACTGCCAGGTCCACCACTAAACCATGTCCATAAGCACCACGTCTCTATGGCTTTTAAATACCTCCAGGGATGGTGACTCAACCACTTCCCTGGGCAGGCTGTTCCAATGCTTGACAACCCTTTCAGTGAAGATATTTTTACCTAATAACCAATCTAAACCTTCCCTGGTGCAACTTGAGGATGCTTCCTGTTGTCCAGTCACTTGTTACTTCAGAAAAAAGAGACCAACACCGACCTCATTACAACCTCCTTTCACTTAATTGTAGAGAGCAATAACGTCTCCCCTCTGCCTCCTTTTCTCCAGGTTTCAGCCACTGCTCATAAGACTGGTGCTTTAAACCCTTCATCAGCTTTGTTGCCCTTCTTTGGACATGCCCCAGCATCAAAATGTCTTTCTTGTAGTGATGGGACCAAAACTGAACACAGTACTCAAGGTGCATCCTTACCA